CGGTTGGAACAAGTTTTTTGTACCTTTCAAAAACAACTTTTTAGAATAAAAATGTCTTGAATTAGAAAATTTTATACTAGAAAGCCGTTTTAGGAACCAGTACGAAAGCTGTTCCAAACGAAGCCTTACGCTTCATTTGGAACTATTTTTTTATTGTATTTAAAGCTATTTTCTAGTGCAAAAATATATTATAAAAGCAGAAAAAAAAAACAATGGTCTAAAAATGTCCCATACAAAATATTAGGCTTAATTCATTTGGGACAACTTTTGACTGCTGCTTTTTTTTTTTCTTTTTAAGAAATTTTTGAACTAAAAAATTGTTTTAGACTTTATTTGCAATAACTTTTTTATTGCTTTAGTGATAAAAATAATAATTAGTAAAAAACAATATGTATTTCGAAGACACTTTTTTCATCATTCTTTTAAATTTTTGTCTTTAAAATTTCATTTTTTTGAAAAAAAAATTTTAAAAAAGAGGCTCATAAAGAAGCTTTAAAGTTAAAAAAAAAAAAATAGCCATAGAGAATTCCACTGGCAATAAAAAAGAGAGCCAAAAGGAAACTGCATCAGATTCTATTAGAAATCCTTTTGAACTCAATTAAAAAGATATTTGGACTTTGAATAAAAACTTGCAAAATAGATTCCATAACAATTTTATTCAAAGATATGAAATTGATTATCTTACAAGTTATATATGAATGTAAATAGTAATATTTTAACCAATTTTAAATATAATTTATATATGACTTTGTATTTTAAGAAATTATTTTTAATCAATCTAATTTATCTCTGATTTTTTTAAGATAATTAAAAAAAATTTATAAGAGAGTAAAGAGTTCACCTTTAAAGAGAAGTTTATCAATTGGATTGTTAAGAATAGTCTAAGGCTTCGTTTGGGACGGCTTTTTTATTGCTTTCTAAAACGTAGTTTTAGTACAATTTTTTTTAATTTTGTACTAAAACTCCATTTTAGAAAGCAATAAGAAAGCCGTCCCAAACTAAGCCTAAAATAGGATTAATATGAGCTAATTTGAACAATCACTTTAGGGAGTAGCTTTATGTGGAATAAATGGATGATATTGATGGAGGGTTAACTTATAATTCAAAGTTAATGATAGAGTATGATGGATTTTAAGAGGATGTTGAGATTTATAGAACAATATTATGGCTTCGTTTGGGACAACTTTTTTATTGCTTCTTAAATCAGCTTTCTAGTATAAAAATTTTAATTTTCGTACTAAAAAGCTGCTTTAAGAAGCAATAAAAAAGCCGTCTCAAATGAAACCCAGGTCTTAGTATTCTCTAATTATGTTGAGTGATGCATCTTAGAACTTTAAATGGTTTTAAGATTTTGGTTACTAGTTTATTCGCCTTATGCAATGGAGGAAGAGATGTGAAGAGTTTAGAGTGCGTGTTAAAGAGTAGTAAATAAATTAAAGAAAATAAAAATATTATTCAAGAAGAAAATTACCATGCCCAAAACTTACACTAATTGAGAAAGTTCTAGATGGCCAGTAACTTTCTTGAAAGAATTTTAACCTAACTTAAAAACTTTCAAGGAACAATAGGTCATTATGGTTTCTATCTTGGAGTTGTTGGAGTGCAAAAGCCCAACCATATCATCTCTCTAAGCTATGATCAGAAAATATAAACTATCATAAGAGTGTATATTAGAGTTGAAGGGATTGAAAAAGATGAATTTTTTCTTTATTTTAATAGCAATTCTATTTTAGATATTTAATCTTAATGTAATTAATAAGTAATGATAAATAAATAAATAAATTGTAGTATTCTTATTGTGACTTATCATCGCAAAATGAAAGTTATTTTCAATTTCCTCTCTTTCTTGTTCTTCGACGCAAAGACAAATTGTGTAGCTTATCACCCAAATCGAGCACCATTAATTTAAAGTTTGAGGTAAGGAAATCTATATAATTGGCCCAATTTAGAGATGCGGGTGAGCTTAACCGACTTGAACTCGACTTGCTAATGAGTTCATGGGTCAAATTTCTCAAGTTCTAAGCTCAAGCTTAGATTATAGCTCTTATGATATATAAGCTCAAGTTCGAACTTGATGGGACTAGGCTTGTTAGTTTTCAAGCCAGCTTGGTTAAAATTCTAAATCTCGTTTCTTGCTTTCGAGTTAGGGCATTTGGCAAAACTAAGTTATAAGTTGCGATTCTCATAGATTCGTCTTCTTTTCTAAACAATGGCTTATACAAACTCAGTACATTTGCTCGTTCGGAGCTGAGATCAAGCTTAAGCTCAAATTTGTCAGTAAATAGACAAGCCAAGTTCTAAGTGAATTGGTACTAATGCTCACCTCATTTTATTTAAACCCCTAACCTAATCATGCACATCAAATTATCTGATAGGTTCTTTAGATGTCCCAAATTATTGACATCAAATGGCAGTGCTATAATGACATCAAGGAGTTGATATAAAATAAATAAATAACATCTTACTTGATTGATGAAAAATAATATTTATTTATTGTTAAAAAAGGATTTACGAGCTATAATGACAATCTAATAATTTGTTTCTCATTATTCACTAAGCTTTTTAATATTATTTCGAAAACTAAAAAGATGTCAAATGAGTGGAGGGGTGTTAGTTCTTTTATTAAGAATAAAAGTAATACACAAGAATCTACGGATTATAGAAGAATTAAGTTAATATAACATATATTAAAACTATAGGAGAGAGTCATTGAAAATAGGTTACCATGTGATACTAATGTTTCTCAAAATCAATTTGTATTTAAGCTGGGTAGATTTACTATGGAAGCTACATGTTTATTGAGAGATTTCATGTAGAAGTATAAAGAGAATAAAGAGGATCTACATATTTCGTTTATTGATTTGGAGAAAACATATAATAAAGTTTCACGAAGTACTCCTAGAAAAGAATTGAGTTAATAATATTTATATCCGGGTCATTAAGAATATATATGTATAAGTTGTTATTTGTATTCAAACATAAGATTGTTTGACCAAGTATTTTTCTATTTTAGTTGGATTACATCAAGGATCGGCTTTTTGCTTTAGTCATAGATGTTATTACTAAACATTTACAAGCGGATGTACCATGATATTCTTCTTGATTATAAGACTAGAGAGAGACTTCAAAGAAAACTTAAATTTATAGATATCAACCTTAAAATGTAAAAATTTTCGTTTGAGTATATCAAAAATCAAATATATTAAGTGTAATTTTAGAAGTAATAGATCTAATGATGGGATTGTGACTTTTGGCGATCAAGCCATTAAAAAGAGTACATGTTTTAAATATCTCGGGTCTATTGTTCAAAGTGATGGTGAAATAGATGGGATATTATTAGTAGAATTCAGGTTGGATTGTCGAAGTGGAGGAATGGATTAGGCATGTTGCATAATAAAAAAGTACCCCTCAAACAAATGGGAGAGTTCTATAAAATGGTGGTGAGACCTGTAGTGCTTTAAAGCGCAGAATGTTGGTCGTTAAAATAAAATCATAAAATTAAGTATTATATAAATGAGGATGCTCAGGTGGATGCATGAATTTACTCTTAGAGACAAAATGTGAAACGAGTATATACGTCGAAGGATTAGAGTAGCTCCAGTGGAAAATAAAATTAAAGAGAATCGCCTTAGATGGGTTAGTCACATAAAACGTCAACCTTCCGATGCCCAGTTAGGAGAGTAGATGTATTATATCTAACCTATATTAAAAAAGGTGTAGGTAGACCTAAAAAGACTTTGTTCAAAAAATTTAGAAATGTCCTTTATTCATTATATTTAAATGAAAATTAGACCAAAAAGCAAATATAAAGTGATTTAAATTTATTTTAAACATATATAATAAAACAATTATTTAATTATTCATATAACATTTATCTTAAAATAAATATAATATTTTAAAAATAATTCATAATTTCCATATTCTTATCCAATTTTCTTCTATTTAAACATGCTCAATCAACAGCAATGAATTCTTCATGTTACAAAAAGGTCAACAAACTAATAATGGTTGCATCATTCATTCCCCTATACCAAAAATGTAGAGCTTTATGAGCAAGAATTAGGTAAAATTTACTGTTAATAAAAAATTAGGTAAAATTTACTGTACATCACAGAAATTAAATTTCTGGCACTAAAAAAGACTAATAACCCCATTAATTAAAATGACAACTAACCTGCAGTTCCAATAAATGAGTTCAAAGTCTCGTTGACTGCAAACTGTAGAGCTACTCAATCTATAATGGCCCGCCTATCTTAATGAGCCATTAATAGAAAGAAATAAGGACTGTATTAATTTAATTCACAAATAATAGTACACCCACTTGTGATCATAATATGATAAATCTTTCATTAAAAACATAGCATATTTACAACTAAAGCTAACAAATCATTGATAAACATGACAATAATAGTAGTGGTCGATGATGATGGCGACCGATGGCGATAGTTAAACAAGTGGGAAAGGCAAAACAAGTGAATTCCCAAAATCGCCCAAATGTATAGATTTTGATATTCTAAATTCCAAATAATAAATAAGGCTTTGTTTGGGCTAATTTTATTGCTGCTTTCTAAAGCAACATTTTAATACAAAAATGTTTTTGGGGGATTTACATACATACCACTTTATATCATACTATTTACATATATAACATCTAAAACTTTAATATTTCATGCATATCACCCATAAACAACTTTAATTTCAAATATATTACTCACAAATTTCATTCCTACCACTCATACCACCCTATAAATTTTAATATATCATTCATTGCACCGATATTTGTTATACGGGTGATAGATATGTAAATAGCATAATATAAAATGGTATGTATGTAAATCCACTTTTTTTAGAAATTTTTTTACTAAAAAGTTACTTTATAAAGTAGTATTAAAGCTGTCCCCCAAAAAGCCTAAAATACTTTGCATATAATTTTCTTCCTAACAACCAACCAAAATTTCAAAAGCCTTATATTTGATTTAGATTACACTCAAAACTCAAGCTACTTCTCACCACCCAGAAAGCCAAATTTCCACTATCAGCTGCGAAAAAGAACCCACTTTGCCCAACATGCGAAGCAAGACAGACAGGTCTAATAAGACTTAAACCCCACTAAACAGAAGCTTCTTATGGTGTTGGTAAAGAAACAATTGAGCAATAGAAATAAAAAGAACAAAACATTTGTCAACATAAATAGGAGATTAGAAACATTTACCTTTCCGTCCAGCGGTAGATAAGATGCCCCAACTGCCATGAAAGTGATGTTCCAGAAGAACTCAATAAGCCATCATAATAGCTTGAAACCCTTCTTCCATGGCCAAAAACATGGAAGAATTCAGCTTTCCTGAAGTATCAGTGGAGCAGAACTCACACCATCAGCTCTCCTTCCCACACTTTGCCTCCTCTCCTCTTTGGTTCCAGTCGTCGACTTCCTATCACAAGTTCACCTCCCTCGACCACCATGATCAGCGAAGGCGGAGCTTCTCATCAGTAGATCTCCGCCGCCTGGATAAGAAAAGCTCAACAGAGGTTAGAGATGAAGAGAGGATGGACATGCTGTGGGAGGATCTCAATGAGGAGCTCCATCAAATTCCGCATAAGGGAAGAAGTGGAAGAAGGGATGGGTCGGGAAACTCAACTAAATTGGATGGGAAGAGGAATGGTGCAGGAGACATCTTCTGTTCAAAAGCTGCTCCAAACCGCAGACCTGGCCTGATGATAATATTAAAGGTGTTGAAGACGCTGCTGTTGATTCAGAAGATCAGAAAGAGAAGAAAAATGTCGGCTTATCACATGTAATCAGCCACATGTATGTTAATCAAAGAGTGCAGAGATGGATGGGATTCAGAATGAAACAAAATTTACAGAGCTTCAAGAAAAAATAGTTATTTCTCTAGCATGACAAAACAGTGGTCTCCATGTTCTTATTTTTGTTCTGCGTCAATTTGATCCATGTACATCTTTTTAGCTATTTAAAAGGAATGTGTCTGACTTGGATTTACATCCAAAATATTATGGTGAGGTGATCAATTTTGCAAGACAAAGGAGATCTCAGCACTCTCTTATAACTACTAAAAATGGACAGTAAATTCAGTTGGCCTTTTCTGTCAGGGTAAACAGGTCAGCGGCTGAAACAAGAAAACAGAAGCGCCAAATGGGAAAGAAAGGATAGAAAAAAACTATCTATAATACTTGTGTGCTTCCTTGCATATCCATAAGCCCATGTCACCTTTTACTATCCTAGCTCGTTCCAATGATCTCATGTTCTTTTATGGGCTTTCTGAAACGATGGGCAATCGATTTGATATACTTATCTTGTACATGAGAAATTAAGTTATTGGTAATTGCCAATTTTCCAAGTAAATTTTTATCCAGACTGCTTCATCCATAGGTCCCAAACATGGCCACAAAAGTCCAAAATAATTCTCTTCCGCGTAAAGCATACTCGTTAATTCTACAAAACTAGAAAGACAACATTGAGATGTGTTGGCATGTAAAATTATATGAAAAAGCTTCCCCGAGCATTGTATTAAAATTAATAAAGACTACGGCTTCATTTGGGACGGCTTTTTTACTGCTTTTTAAAGCAGTTTTTTAGTACAAAAATTTTAGATTTCTTGTTGATTCCACGACAAGTTCCATCATCTTAGAAGCTCTCCTCTAGACAATAATGACACCAAACTCCTTAAGTGGCAAGCATTCAAGTACATTATTCTTAATTAGTTACTCAATAGTTCTGAACCTTCAATTGTCTCAATTGTTATGTTTTTGAATTCTGCTAAAATTTTTGAAATTTTATTCACCCAACATTTTTTCAAAAAAGTAAAACATATCATACCTACACTCTCAATTTTAAAATATTTTATCTCCACCAAAATGATATGCAAATCCAAAAGCATTATAGCACCCTAACGGGAAAATAGGACAAGTTAATTCAGTCCTCCCTGTTCACTATCCCTCTAACTATTTGACAAAGCAGTGAGAAGAATTTTGTGTCGTTGAATTTATTTTTTGCCACCATCTCAATCGATGCTACACTCAACAATCTTTACTAATTCAAATTACACTCTCCCAAGTTTTTTACATCAGAGAACTCTCTACTTCCCAACCTCCAATTTCAATCAATCACCCTTGGTTGTTGGAGCAAGAGGTGGTCAAGAGAGTTGTGGTTGTAGTGGTCAATCTAATGGTGAATGCGATAGTCACCATAATATCTTTCTAGCATGCCATCATCGCAGCCACGCAAATCATCCTCTTGAACATTACTAAGAAAAATGCAGCTATCCCTCATGATCAGAAGATCAATTAATAAAATGATGTGCGGACCAACTAAGATGATGTGGAAGCTCAGAAAGGAACTCTCGGGAGAATGTATAATCTAGCCAAGAGGATCCCAAGCCAAAAGCATTGTTGCCGAGAGGATTTGAGGATGAGAAGAAAGCTTGAAGGGTTCTGAAAATTCTAGAGCAATATGTTGAGCACCAAGGGTCCGAGGTAAGTATAGATAGCTGAGATGGTGCTCAAGAGACAAGCCGACTTCGCATCCAAGAAGATCATTAATTGTGTTGTAGTGATGACTTAGGAACAATCTCAAATTGGGGCATCAATAATGGGTGTCATACCTAGTAACTTCCTCATTTATAGACACATAGGAGTGAATAAGAGGCTACAAAATCTGCTGAGATATCTCTATTGACCAAGAATACACTTGGATGTAGTTAAGTTCCCAAAAGAATGCATATCATGTTGCCTTTAAAAAAGCCCTGAAACAAGAAACAAGGCCTATACATCCCTTTGCCTAAACCAACTCAGCAAGGAAGCATTTTTATGTTCTTCTTGGGAGAACTATGGTCGATCTTTAGATAATTATGTGTTTGCTGAGGTCTAAAAGTTTTCAAAGATAATCGTCCTCATGAAGTGCAACTAAAATATTACAAGTGAAGAGACGACCCATTTTTTCCTTAATAATGTTTAAGAGAACTTCAACTTGTCCAGTTGTTGATCCCTATACGCAAAAACACATGAAATAAGGTAAAATTGACATATGACGCATCATTTGAAGGGTTAAACGACCTCCGTTCGTCAAACGGATAGTGTCATCGCGATCAAAACTCAAATTCACCTAAATGGGAACCCCTCGCTATCAAATCGGACGGACTCGGTCAAAAGGGATGACCGATGCCCAAAATTGACGCGCAACATTGCCCAAAGGACCTTTGATTGCAAAAAAGACTACGTTGTTAAGATCTAAACGTCAACAAAACCTACAATGGACTGTAATTTTGTCCAATGAAAGTTACACGAGAAAATCGAAGCAAACTTGAAGGCAATGGTGCACAAATCAAGAAAATTGATGCACAACGTTGCCCAAACGCCGTGCGATCATAAAATGGACTGCGACGCTGCGTTCGGAACATCGACAATATCCAAAATCAACTAAAATAGTTCCCAACATAATTCATCCAGCAAAATCGGCGTTGATCGACGCTGAACAGTTCGGCAAATCCCGCACTGCTCTTTGTCTCTCGCTCGTTAAAATGAGAAGAGAATGACAATCCATCCGTTCTGAGCCTTCAACCCGTCAAACCGCAAATTACTTTGTCCCGAGCCCTTCTTCCAACTCCTAGCTTTTGATCCACTTCAATACATACAACTCCCTTCGATCTCATAGCCTTCACCACCACTTCTCTGCCTACCAAAGCCAAACAAGACTCCTCGCTTCACTGTCCTTGCCGAATCACAAGACTCGACTGGCCCGTCACTATGTCGAACACCTAATCCCGCCTCCTTGGACCTCTGATATCCCACTACAGCAGCCAAACTCACCTCCGACCTAGCCCCACGCAACCTGTTCAACGCCCTATGTCTGTCTGATTCCCTGCTCGAGAACCTCACGCCATTTGCACCAGAACCCGCAAGCTGCAACTCCCTGTTCGGTCTCCTACATACGCCCAACCCACAACCCTCCAAGACAACCTAATCAACCGACCCTTCCTTCCTTGACCGAAACTTGCTTCAATATCTCTCACCCAATCTCTCTGATTTCACTTCAACCGCCCATCTCCAACCTACTGCTCTGCCTAAACCCACTCATTCACGTCCAAATAGCCCTCTTATCTTCTTCAGAACTCCATCTACAGCAATCCAATAGCCTACTTCACAGCCCATTGACACACCTCCTCTTGTTCTTACACAGCCCAAACAGCCCACTATAAATCAACAACCCCCTCACAACCCAACCAACTTCAAAAGCCCACCTGCACTAACCCAACAATCATTCACAAAACAGCCCCTAAAAAAGATTTGTGTGCATTTTTTGTTGTTGCCTCCTCGTCACCGTAGTCGTCAACCTTCTCGCTCAAGGTATAATGTCTCCAAACTCAAAAAAATCCCCTGAATCCCGTCCTCGACGCTTGTGGGCCGCCAGAAAATCACCTATACATATTTTTTTAGCGTGGTAGGAGAGAACCTAGTGTAACACTTGCAGCGAGGCAGGAAAGCCATGTACACTTTTTTCTTAGTGTGGCGGGGACAACTTCTATGTACCCGTGTGCGTGTCTAAGTGCCGACGGGAACTGCATTTTCAAACAAGTACTCTTGAAGACTCATACACGGCTTTCTTGGCATGGTGGGATCGAAGACAATGATCGCGGTGCCGCCCGACACCTTGATCGCAGTGCCGCCCGACACCTACCATATATATTTTTCTTATCATGGCATGAAAGCCCAGACTCCCAAAATTTTCTTTAAACGGGAGAGACGCCCGAAGGTTGTTGAATTTTTTTAGAAGACCTAAATTGAACAAAGTTATATGGGACCAAAATTGAACAATAGCAGGGGACCAAATTTGAATAAATATGGAAAATCAAACTCACAGGAAATTGAACATTTAATTAAAAAAAATCATAATCATGATTAAAATGCAAATGATGAACAACATTTCTAGCCATGTAAATGAACATCCATGAATGAATATTTGATTTATGACGGACAAGTACTTCAAGCAGATGAAATTTTTAATAGACGTCATAACTCAGATCACAAATCAACTGGCAACATGATGAAAGCACTGCAATGTGTGCAGTGAATTTTCTAGGGATGATAATAAGCGACACACTATGAATGTGGTGATTTGTCAGTGATCATGTGCAATGAAAGCAGCATTGTTGACCTCCACACTATATAGCTAAATCAGAAAGAGAAATAACAAAAAAATTTAAAATCATCATATACATATCTCTGCCAAATCCCACGATACCTGCCCGAAATCCTGTCGAATCACTGTGCATTCGGCACCGTTATGAGATTCTTGTTAGCAGAGCCTCGATCGCTGCTCTTCGACGTCTTTAAAAGCCGACCAAACGAAGCCAAAGGGGCTGCTCCCTCCTCTCTCCCATTCACTACCCACACGAGAGCTCCCTCCATCCAGATCCCCTTGCTTCTTTCAGTCCAGAGAAAGGGAGAGAGAGAGAGGAAGAGAGAGCTCCATACCTAGCTGTGAATCCTCCTCCTCCTCCTCCAAGTCAAAGCCGCTACCTCCACTCTACTCGTCGCCTCCCATCTGATCTCCTAGGGCTGAAATCCCGAATCCCTTAGCTGACCTCCTGCCCAAATCCCAACCGAAGCCCACGTCCGACCTCAGGCTCCTTCGATGACATTCCTATCCTGTTGGATCGGACATTACGACATTTTGATCAGAGGCAAAGACGGGAGCTCGCTAGCTGTGAAGGTACCTTTCTCCCTAGCACGCGCTTCTTCGGCCAGATCCCGTAAATTGTCCTACCCAAAAGGAGGGTATCTTTTAATTATTAATTAACTAATATTAATTATAATTAATTATATAATTATTTTTAAATTATAATTAAATATTTAATTATGCTAATTATAATTAAATACTATAAATTATTATTAGTTATATTTAACCTATGATGCACCGACATTTCTCCTCAAAGAGGCGTGCAGTTTCCGACACAGTATCCGACACGACATTCGTCCGACACTCCTCCGACACGTGTCGGACACACCGAAAATGTGTCCGATTAAAAAATATTCCGTGTCGTGTTGTATCCGTGTCGCCATGTCCGTCTCTGTGCATCATAGTATTTAACTTTTAATTATCATTAATTATTATTAATTATTATTGATTATAATTAGTCATAACTAATTATAATTAATTATGATTAATAAATTAATTATAATTGAATAGTTAATTATCATTCATTTTAATTAATTATTTAATTATTATTAATTAAAATTTATCATAATAACATTAATTATGATTAAAAATAATTAATGGATTAGTTATAATTAAATTTTTAATTATCACTAATTATAATGCAAAGAGAAAGGTAATGCCTCTCTCTC